TATAGATCTGAAAATGAGGAGAAGGCTGAGGGCTAGAGATTTGATTTGCAAATCGTTAAGATTTACTTGACATTAGTTAAGCTGAAAACTGGATCTGTACCCAACTGGTGTGCCCTGGGGAGACTAGTGAATGAGGATTAGGCTGAGATAACTTGTGAGGCCTCTCTGGGCCTTTGAGTAAATATTAAGAGGAAGGAGGATTTGAAGAATATGGGATAACCAGGAGATATGCTAGTGACATAGACAGTTCTGGAATTCCAACTCTGACAGTTTGGTTCTTAAACTTGCCTTATTTCTTAAACAAGAGGTATATTATAAAAAAAATAGAGAACAATTAAGTCACATCATGTATTAATTAGAACATTTTGGGCTTTATGCAAGAGGAAACAATTTGAACTAGCTTCAGACTTTCTTTTTTTTCTAATAAAATAATATATTTACAGATAAACTTTAGAACCACTTTGGCAACTCTCTCATCTCCTAATTTTGTTGCAATTTCTTAATTAACATATAATTTATTATTTGTTTCAGGGGTACAGGTCTGTGATTCATCAGTCTTACACGATTCACAGCACTCACCATAGCACATACCCTCCCCAATGTCCATCACCCAGCCACCCCATCCCTTCAACCCCTCTCCCCTCCAGCAGCCTTCAGTTTGTTTCCTGAGATTAAGAGTCTCTTATAGTTTGTCTCCCTCTCTGGTTTCATTTTGTTTCATTTTTCCCTCCCTTCCCCTATGATCCTCTGCCTTGTTTCTTAAATCCCACATATCAGTGAGATCATGTTTTTCTCTAATTGACTTATTTTGCTTAGCATAATACCCCCTAGTTCTATCCACATCCTTGCAAATGGCAAGATTTAGTTTTTGATGGCTGCATAATATTCCACTGCATATATACATACCACACCTTCTTTATCCATTCATCTGTCAATGGACATCTGAGTTCTTTCCATAGTTTGGCTATTGTGGACATTGCTGCTATAAACATTGGGGTGCAGGTGCCCCTTCAGATCACTACATTTGTATCTTTGGGGTATATACTCAATAGTGCGATTGTTGGGTCATAGGGTAACTCTATTTTCAATTTTCTGAGGAACCTCCATGCTGTTTTCCAGAGTGGCTGCACAAGCTTGCATTCCCACCAAGACTGTAGGGGGGTTCCCCTTTCTCCACATCCTCGCCAACATCTATTATTTCCTGACTTGTTAATTTTAGCCACTCATTTCCCTGATGCCGGGTGATGTGGAGCACTTCTTCATGTGTCTTTTGGCCATTTGTATGTCTTCATTGGAGAAATGTCTGTTCATCCCTTCTGCCCATTTCCTAACTGGATTATTTATTTTTTGGGTGTTCAATTTGCTAAGTTTTTTATAGATTTTGGATGCTAACCCTTTATCTCATAACACATTTGCAAATATCTTCTCCCATTCAGTAGGTTGTCTTTTGGTTTTGTCAGCTGTTTCTTTTGCTGTGTGAAAGCTTTTTATCTCAATGAAGTCACAATAGTTCATTTCTGCCTTTGTTTCCCTTGCCTTTGGAGACACATCTAGCAAGAAGTTGCTGCAGCTGAGGTTGAAGAGGTTGCTGCCTATGTTCTTCTCTAGGATTTTGATGGATTCCTGTCTCATATTTAGGACTTTTATCCATTTTGAGTCTATTTTTGTGTATGATACAAGAAAATGGTCCAGTTTCATTCTTCTGCATGTGACTGTCCAATTTTCCCAACACCATTTATTGAAGACACTATCTTTTTTCCATTGGATATTCTTTTCTCCTTTGTTGAAGAAATAAGACTTTCTTATGAGAATGTAGTGATACCTCATAGAAGCCACGGGAAAGAATGCTACTGTAATCAAGAGGCAGACAGCCATTGAGGATCTAGGCTCAGCTCCACTCTATCTACTTCTTTTCTCTGTCTCTTTGCTCTCTTCTATCCTCTCCAGACTTGTTTTTTCTATTTCTCCTGATGGCATAGCCCCTACATTGTTGTTATAGCCCAGACACCCAGTCTTACCAATTCTCTCTCCCCATTCTAAATCCCCAGGGAAGTTCTCTGATTGCCCTAATGTACCTGAGATACTCCCTCCCCATCCATCCTGATCCAGTCAACTGTGTGTGTGTGTGTGTGTGTGTGTGTATTTAGAGGGCTCATGGACTCCAGTCCAATGAAATAATAATAGATGGGGGTGGTTTCCAGATAAGACATCAGTATTTTTTATAAGCACCCCAGACTGGGAACCAATGATTTAGGCTCTGTTGTTTTTATGAAAATAAAGACTGTGGTAGGAATTATAATGCAGACCGCCCCCTTGCACCACAATGCTAATATCCAGGACATGTGGAAATATTATGTTACATAGTAAAGGAGAATTAAAGTTATAAAAGGAATTAAGGTTGCTAATCAACTGACCTTAGAATAAGAGTATATGAGATTATCTGGTTGGGCCAAATATAATCACAAAGGTCCTTAAATGTGGAAGAGGTAGGCAGAATTGTCAGTGTGTCAGAGTAATGTCTTTGCTGGCTTTGAAGGTGGAACGGGGCCATGAACCAAGGAGGTGGTCTCTAGAATGTGGAAAGTCAAGAAAAAGGATTCTGCCTGGCACCTCCATAAAGGAATTCAATGCTGCTGACACTGTGATTTTAGCCCAGTGTGACACTTTTCAGACTTCTGATTCCTAGAGCTGTAATAAATTTGTGTTGTATTAAGCCATGAAGTGTGGGTTTTTTGTTGTTTTTTTTTTATTTTTACAGCAGCCACAGAAAACTATTATTAAGAAGAATGGTTAATACTTGAATAAGAGAGGTAAAAGATAATCCCAAGGCTATATTCCTTAAATACATTTGTTCCATTGCAAACTTTTAAAAAAATCTGTCTAGCACTTTTCTCTTGTTCTGAAAATGGCAACTTCCCCTATTCTTTTTTTTCCCCCTCCAACTAAGTGGTTCTACTGGGTGTACCATTCTAACGTCACACATGTACTTTTAATCCAAGAATGATTATGTTACTTGATCTTACCCAATCATGCTCTTTATCTGGTGTTCTAAAAATTGGAACTGAGGGAAGAGAGGCTCATTCTCTGTGGTAACAGCGTGATAGGTATGAACCCACAGTTTGTCAGAGGCCATGGTTCTAAGCCTACAGAACTTGCCTTTCAGACATTCTCAAAGAATGACCCTGTCTAAAAGAGGCAGGTTTGAGAGCCTAACCTGGAATTTGAAGCATTCCCTTTATTTGTTCCATTTATTATGAAAGTCATTCATATACTTACCCTTTTCACAGCTTGGGTTACACAATAACTTTCTCTTTTTGCCTAAGCTACTTTGTTGGACTTTTAGTCACTTCCATCAAAATATCCTGACAGTTTCCATAGTGTAGTGGTTATCACGTTTGCCTCACAAAATATCCTGACAAATTCAGACACAGAAGAAGAAAATAAACCCAGTAATCAAATGAAAGTTCATGCACATATATACACGTCTATTAAGAAAGCAGACATTACCTTTACTAACCTAGTGGGTTTTTTTTAGGCATCTTCTGTATGTGAAACATTTTCAGTGAAATGAACAAGACAAAATCCTACTTCCAGGCATTTACAGATTTATTCATCCTACGGTCTGTGTTTATATTTACCAATACGCATACCCTCTTCCAATATGGCCTCACTACAATCTCCCATACTTATTTGACAAATGCAAAATAGAAATGAGTTCAAGAAAGTCTGGTTTGTAAAATACACAAATGGAAGAACCACAAAGGTTAATGGGAAGAATTTCAGGATATTCAGATCTCTAGGGGCAGTTACCAGACTCTCCCCAAAAATGCTGCCATCACAGTCAAAACAGTTGCTGGGCAGGACTAGGGGTGTGGCCCTGTGGCAGTTCTTTTATTCTTAGCCAAATGTTTCTCAATTCCATCATAACTAAAGCAAAAAGAAGAAAGGAAAAGTAATTTGGAATAAATCACTTTAGGCCCACAGGCCAATTCTCGTTGGATGCACTCAGGTGTGTTTATTTTAATCGCTGATCCAAAGGCACGTGAGATACCACAGCTGACCAGATTTTAAACATAAAAGCATAGAACTTAAAACTAAGCACGCATGCAGCATGGAATAATAATCAAGTTGGGCTTCTCAAAATGCTAAACGCCAGAAAACCCGAAACCATTAGGGCAAAGTCCATACAACATAGGCTGAATATTCTGTTTCTCCGAGGGGCTTTTAGAAGGCTCAAATTCTAAGGTGGCTACCTAAAAAGCAGGGTCAAAGATGCCTCTTCTTGGCAACCCGTGTTCTTCTTCCCAAGAAATTCAGGTAGGCTTACTCAAGAATCTTTTTAAGAAAAAAGTATATTATTGTCACCAAAAGTGCAGAAACAAAAGCAGGGTTTGTTCTCAGGAAAACCAATGCGTTCTGGGTTAGTACACATCAAAGAGACTCGTTAACCAGAATACGCTGCATAGACAGTATGTGGGTGAGGAACGTCCAACCCCTCACCTCTGGAGGGCTGAGGATTGCGCGTGCGAGAAGGAAAAATGCGCGGAGGGTTGAGGTGGGAGAATAAGACGTGGGGAGATAGGCGTGCAAAAGAGTGAAAAACTAGGGAGGATCTAGGGTGGCTCCAAGGAGAGGCGTTGTGACTCCCCGGGACTGGGTAGCTTGGTTCCACGCCAAGCGGGCTTTCTCGAGGATGAGTGTGAGGGTGCACCGAGGGGACCAGAAAACTTCTCTGACTACGTTATCAGCAGACCTCGAGAGTGGAAAACTCCAGCCGTGTGTCCCTGGCACTAGGTTTTCCGGACTAAGGCGGCGGAGGCTCCGCCCCTCGGTTTCCCACCCCGCCTGGCCACGCCCCTCCTCTCCTAACACCGCCCGGGCCCCGCCCCCTCCGCTTCCCACCGCCCTTCCCATCTGCTCCTGGTTCCAGGCTCCAGGCTCCTGCTAGGTTCGTCGGCGGTGGGAGCGCGCAAGCGCGGCTGGCAGCTTGCAGAGCGCGGAGTAGCGGCGCGGAACGCGCGGTGAGTGAGGTGGGATCGTGGGGCTGGTGGCTGGAGAACCTGGTTCCCGCGGAACATCCCGGGAGGGTTCGGGGAGTGCGCGGGTGAGTGCCCGGGGAGTCTTCGGTCCCGTGAGTAGGCACTGGTCGGACGTGAGGCAGGGGAGTTGGCCGCACTGCTTAAGAGTGTCCAGCCCCGGCCGCGTGCGGAGCGGAGTGCGTGGTGGCGGGTGTGGGTGAGCGTTTGTGTACGGAGGAAAATAGAAGGGAAGGGCTCCGGAGACTGGAAGTCCTTACTCAGGCTTGGCAGGACCGGGAGGCTCGCCAAAGGCGCTGGAGGGTGTCCCAGCTTCAAGTTCAGTATCCCCCGCTGGGTGCCCCTGAGCGTCGTCCCGGGCCCATCCCTTCCCCGGCGCTGCGGTCTTAAGAGTGCGGAGTTGCCAGGAACATTCCTTGTCGTGGGGGGAGAGGATTTGGGAAAGGTGGGCTTTCACCCCAGGCTAGTGCCAAAGAGGGTGTGGCGTTCGTGTGACTTTCCTTCACCCCGCCCCCGGGAATGTGTCCGTCTTCTGGTACATTGTGCTCATGGACATTTTAACAAAGGCTGTGACTGTTTTCTAGGCAGTGGCGGGTGACAGCGGGGGCGGGTCGGTGGAGGGGGGAGCGTACGAGGTCGCAGTGTGGCCCTGGGGGGGGGGCGGGGGCAGGCATGGAGGGAGTGGAAGGAAGGGAATAACCTTCCTGCCTCAGCTTTTTCTTTCTTCCTGGTCCGCTGATTTTGATCAGTGGTAGGAACAGCCTCGAGAGGGATATGATTAGAAATCAGTGTGTGTGTTCGGACTCTGGCTGCACCCATTGGTTTTTATAATTGTGCTGTTGATGTATTTTTTAAGTGTTCCTTCAGTAGAAAAGCGAAACTAATGAAATTGAAGAGGAAATAATTGAGCGAAAGGGTGAAGAGGCGGGGTGTCAAAACTTAGAGCTAAATTACTACCTTCTGATAGTCGTAGTATAAATAAAGCCAGATTCTGAAGGGTGTGAAGGTGCGCAAGTGGGGTAAGTGCAAAGTTGATTAGGGTGCTGTTGATTGGGTCAGTCAAGAGGGGATTATTGGATGCGTGTGTGGAGGTGCTGCCAAGTTCTTGGGTAGACTCACTTTAGAACCTTTAAAAATGATATCGGGACGGGGCGCCTGGGTGGCTCAGTGGGTTAAAGCCTCTGCCTTCGGCTCAGGTCATGATCCCAGGGTCCTGGGATCAAGCCCCCCACACCGGGCTCTCTGCTCAGCGGGGAGCCTTCTTCCCCCTCTCTCTCTGCCTGCCTCTCTGCCTACTTGTGACCTCTCTCTCTCTCTGTCAAATAAATTAAAAATATCTTTAAAAAAATGATATCGGGAGTACAAAACACTGGGGCAAAGAACTATAATATTGGATAAAGTTCCAAGGCTTTCATTTACAAAATTAGGAACTTTAGGAAAGGCGGTATATGTGTTTTGAAGCATAAATGTTGATTTTTTTACTCATCTGTTTTAACTGAATACAACAACTTCTTCCTCCTCCACCCCTTTCCCTTGATTGTGAATCCTGTTTTATAAACATTTAACTTTCAAATCTGAAGTGTGTTTAAAGGCACAATCCTCCGCCCGCCCCATGAAGTGAATAGGATTTCTTCTTGTGTTGTCATTTTACTCTTTCTTTTCCTGTCATTTTAAGTTAAATGCCATGAACATTACCAATTTGGGGGAGAGAGGTGTTAGTAATACCTTTTCCATTTTCTAGTGCCTAATGAACCCCTTTTCATCCTTTCAGATTCAGCCCCTTTGTCTTGGAAAAATTTGCCATCTCCTCCAGAATGAATTAATCACTCTCTTTTCTGTTAAACTGTACCACTGGTCTTATTTTTCTCTTGCAACTAGAATCTCAGTCTTCTGTGTTACCCCAATACCTAGGGCTGCTGGGTATGTACTAAATGCCTAATAAATGCACTTAAAATAAATGAACTATAAATAATAGTTCATGGGGTAATAGAAGAAATTCAGAATGCTGAAATTATATATCATATTTGAACAACATTATTTGGAATGTAGATTAGAAAAAGTATGGAAATAACTTTCCATGTTATTAGTCTGGTTTATCCTTCTAAAAGAGGTGCAAAAAAAAAACAAAAAAAAAGAGAGAGATGCAAAATCTTTGCATATATAGACAAGGTGTCATGAAAAGGCCAAATTTTAAAACAGGTCAACTTTTGATACTGAAACTAGCGAAAAGTTAACGTGAAACAGAAGATTAATCATTTGTAGACCAACACTAATAGGGCACTGCTGGAATTTAGGAATTTACAAGTAAATCAAGTTGGCCAGATGGTATCCTTGGAAAGCTAATACAACTAAAGAAACTGTAACATATTAGACCAATTAAAGAGACTAATTAGTTGCATTATACTCCTAAATCTTAAGGTGGTTTGAGCACTTGGCTAATGGGCCTCTTTATGTTATAGTGTGCCCCATAGGCTTGGCCAATTTCTGCAGCCTTATCTCTGACATCTGTCCTAACTCTACCAGGATTGTTGGCTTTACAGTCACCTTTGGCTCATGAAGGGAATTATTTTCCCTTTGCTTCTTACCACTCAAACTCATCACCCCCACACCTAGGGTGGTTTTACCAACTGGAGAAAATATCATGAGCAAATGATCACTCAATTTATAAGTGAGTAGAACTCATTTTAGTCTAAAAATGAGTCAGGATTGACTTCTTGGTTAGTCTACCTGTGCCAGCAAAGCAGAGAACTACTTTGGGCTATTAGTAACTTATGTTTTTCTCCTCTCAATCTATCCCCTCTCTACCTAAATGTAAAAGCACTTTTTCCCCACGTCTCTCTCTCTCTCTCTCTCTTTTTTTCTTTCTCTTTTAAAAAAATTTATTTAGTTATTTGACAGCTCAAGCAGGGGAAGCAGCAGGCAGAGGGAGAGGGGGAAGCAGGCTCTCCACTGAGCAGGAGCCCGATGTGGGACTCGATCTGTAGACCTGGGACCATGACCTGAGCCGGAGGCAGATGCTTAACTGATTGGGCCACCCAATCACTCCCTCCACATCACTTTAAAAAAAAAAAAAAAAAAAGAATGTTAACCATTGTTCACACCAAAACACTTCAAGTTAGTGCCTTGTTTTTATGAGGAAAACTTGGGTCTCAGAGAGGATGAATAGTCCATAAAACTTCTTTTTAAAGAAATTCTACATACATCTTCTGTGGTCTTTAGATTCACTTACTGAAAAGGATATTCCAGACCATTGTGGTTAAGGCTTCCTTCTTAAACTTCCCTCATCTAGCCTTCCTCTTCATATTTCTGATTTTTTACTCTCATTCTTTGACAGCTACTTCCTCTGAGTCATCTTCTTAGGGTTCTGTCCAAGACTCTTTCCCAGTCTATGTAGGAGACAATAATATGGCGGTCAAGGGCATGGAATTTGGAGGCATTTGTTAAACTTCTTTAAGTATCAGTTTCCTCATTTATAAAAGTAATGAGTATAATATTTACCTCACAAGTGAGATCAGGTATATTTACTGCTTATCATAATATTTAGCATATACTAATTGCCCTAAATATGGTAGCTGTTATTGGTAATTGCCATTTCTTATAAGGAATGTAATTTCAGTAGCAGTTAATTTCAAAATGGGAATGTATTGACATTTCCTATTCTATTCAAATTCTTAGTCCTGTATTTGTAGATTCCTCCTATATATCTAAAACAGGTGGCTTTGCACAATGGTTCTCAAACATCAGCTTGCACAATAATAACACGAATGTTCACCTAATTGAAGTAGGATTGGCTGGGGAGTTTGACAAAGGATGAGTCAAGGACGATGCCAAGTGTTTTGGTCTGAGCAACTGGAAGGATAGAGTAGCCATTTAGTGAGATACGAAAGATTGCAGGAGGAGAAAATTTGAGAGGAGGATCAAGAATTCAGTACTAAGCTTGCTGAGTTCAAGATGACTTTGAAATCTGGGTAGAATTCAGGAGAGAGGTATGGGTGGGCAGGAAGCTCTGGGAATGGATCAGATCATTACAAGGGAAGAGAAGAGGTCATTCCTTTGCTTTAAAAAGTATTAACTATTTTTAGAGGATTTTAGGTTCACAGCAAAATTGAGAAGTACAGAGAGTTCCATATGCCTGCTTTCCACCAACACAACCTCCCCCATTGTCGACATCTTATAACACAGCGGTACATTTGAACTTACAATGACACATTTTTATTACCTCAAGTCCATAGTTTGAATTAAGGTTCACTCTTGGTGTTGTACACTTTGTGGGTTTTGACAAACACTTAATGACCTGTATCTGCTATTGTGGTGTCTTACAAAATAGATTTATTGCCCTAAAAAATCCTGTGTTCTGGGGTGCCTACATGGCTCAGTCTCTTAAGTGTCTGCCTTCGGCTCAGGTCATGATCTTCAGGTTCTGGAATTAAGCCCCACATCTGGCTTCCTGCTCAGCGGAAGAGAGTCTGCTTCTCCCTCTGCACCACCCCCCCCCACTTGTGTGCTTGTGCACTCTCTCTCAAATAAATAAATAGATTCTTAAAAAAATCCTGTGTCCAATTATCTATCTCCCCACCCCCCTAACCCCCACAGCCACTGAATTTTTGACTGTTTCTATAGTTTTGCCTTTTCTGTAATGTCAGTCATATCATTGGAATCATAGTATGTAGCCTTTTCAGATTGACTTCTTTCACTTAGCAATATGCATTTAAGATTTCTCCATGTCTTTGCATGGCTTGATAGCTCATTTCTTTTTAGCACTGATTAATATTCCATTGTCTGGATGTACCACAATTTATTTATACATTAACCTACTGATGGGCATCTTGGTTACTTCCAAATTTTGACACTTGTGAATAAAGATGCTATAAACATCTATGTGCAGGTTTTTGTGTGGACATGAGTTTTTTTTTAACTCTTTTGGAAAAATGCTAAGCGTAACTGCTAGATCATATGGTAAGAGTATGTTTGCTTTTTAAAGAAACAGGCAGACTTTTTCAAATGGCTATACCATTTTGCATTCTCACTTGTACTGAGAATTCCTGTTGCTCCACATCTCCACCAGCAT